AAGTAGCAGTGAAGTCAAGACCAAAAGGGGTGGGACCTGTGGAAGGAACACTACTGAGTTCCACAGTGCTGAACCGTGGATGTACAGAGGGTGATAATGTGATGAGAAGTTGAGAGTTACTTTGATTTGATTTAGGACTTTGCACGTCAAACTACAGAACGCGTGCCTCCCTAGATGACGTAGCAGGAACCAGAGAAGGTGTCTGAGCGGAGAAGTGATGCTCATTTCCTCTTTGATTTATTCAACAAATAATAGTACACCTGTCTGTGCCAGGTGCAAGGCACGGAGTACCCAGCGGTGAGAAAAACACACACTGACTCCTGCTCACAGAAAACACAGCCAAGTCAGGAAGGAGACGACAAAGAGATGAACACACAAGCAGATGCCTGTTAAACAAGGATAATGAGGCAGGTGAGAAAAAAAAGAACAGGATCCTACTGCAAGAGAATGAGGCATAGGGAATGTAATCAAAACCGGATCAGAGAATCCCTAAGAAAGTGACATCAGACCTGGGACTTGGGGCCAGAGTGCAATGCTGGCATCCCTATCAGAGTGCTGGTTTGAGTCCTGGCTGCTCCACTTTTACCCCAGACTGTTGATGCCAGGTCCCATCCTCTCTGGTGATGCTGGGCAGCCCACCTCCCAGGCAGCTAGGTGACACAAGGAGGGAATCATGGAGATGTCACAGGGTACCTGCTGTTAAGCTGGAACAGGGTGGATTGGGGCAGCAACAGCAGTTTTCATTTCAGATGTCTCCAGTATTTTCTTGGGTGTAACTTCACGGTATGTGAAGGGTCTGGACATATACAAACTCCAATGACATGTGCATCCTTGACATAACAAAGGCAAACATTTCTACACAGCCTGGCCCCAGCCAGCTGCCACGCTCAGCTTTTTACATCTACCAACTCATTTGAGTGGCAGGTGGTGCTTCTATCATCATCTCATCGGCCAAGAAAGTGAGACAGGGAGGTTCAACAGAATACTCAAGGTCACACACAGCAAGGAAGTGGTGAGGCCAGGACACGAGCACCAGTGTTCCACATGGCTTCTCCCTGTAGTATAGTAATCACAGCAACCGTGGGCATAGAAACCAAACCACCTCCCAGAATCGTGCCTCTACCGACCCAACGCATCAGACCCCTGTCCATCCCTCCCTTCAGATGCAGTGTCCATCGCCCGTGCCCTCCTGCATGCTACCCTGAGTTCTGCTCATCCACTGTCCACAGATTACAGTCACTTCCTTCCAGCCCCACTCCCAGTTTGCCACCTACAGTTTATTCCCAACACAGCATTCAGGAGGGGGAAAAACTGGAGCATGTAAGTGCAGGGATGTCTCTTCCTTGTTCAAAACCTCCCCAGTGCCCTCTGCCAGGCCTCCCTGGCCTCTCACTGCCCCTGGCTGGGGGGACCTGTCCCCTGGTCCTGGGCATCCCCCTCCACAGATCCCTGGTTCCTGCTCAGTCACCAAATTCTCTCATCATCTCCACCACATCTACCTCTAAACAGCTTCAGTTTTCTTCAGAGCTTTCCTCACCATTTGGTACAACAGCCATGAATTTATTTTCTACTTCCCAGCACTAATTGCATGAGTGATGATGTGGCTTTGCTCTCTGCTGCACGCACCCCAGCGCCTGGGCTGTGACACACTCGGTAAACACTTTGGGATTCCATGCAAGAATTGTTCCCCCCATTGGACAGCCCCTGAGGAAACAGGCCCAGAAGTTACTCACTGAGGTCACCAACATGGGAACGTACAAAGCACCCATAACTTCCCACAGCACCTGGTCAAGCAGCCCCACCCCCTTCCACTACCTGCACTCCTCTGCCTCCAAGGCTTTCTGGAATGTTCCGACAATGCTTGCTGTACGCAGAAGGCTGTCTTTTGGCTAAGAGCTGACCTAGTCAAGACCAGAATGCCAACACCTTTTTTCCTTGCTTCTTCCAGAACTGCAACACACTCTAACCGTCTCCTCATGCAATGCGGTTGTACTCATGGGAGCTGAACGGTGTGCAGCTAACCTGGGACATGGGGCATGCACAGGATGGAGCAGAAAAGGGCAGCACCCCTTGCCAGGGCTTTACAGTCCAGCCCTTCCACAGACCAGGAGCAGTGACACTGGCATGGCTCTGTGGCTTCTGCTAACAGCACTGAGTGACCCTCAAACAGCATGCACTCCTCTTTCTAGCAGTTCCAGCCCCTCAGAGGCCTTCTATCACTGTCACCTTTACAGTCCTTAAACTCTTCAAGCGCAAAATGTCATCCGTCACCACCATGCCATGAAAACCCAGCCTCTTACTCAATCTGTATCACTTTGCCACTGCCTTGACCCAAAGTCACTGAGTTTGATTTGTTTGAGGCTTATAAGCAAATTCAGAAAACTGTGCTAACTGGAGGGAAATGGAAGCTAGTTTTACCTATGCACACATATACTGCCCCAATGCAGTTCCTAAAGTGATTTTCACCCAGCTTGAGGCATGGGTTCTTCAGAAGACACTGAAGTTTGTAGGCTCAGCACAATGGCTCAGTTGACAAACGCTCCCTCTTAAAGAACTAGGATCCCATATGGGCACCAGTTCATGTCCTGGTTGCTCCACTTCCCATTCAGCTTCCTGCTTGTGGCCTGGGAAAGCAGTACAGGATGGCCCAAAGCCTTGGGACCCTGCACCCGTATGGGAGACTGGGAAGAAGCTCCTGGCTTGGGATCAGCTCAGTTCCAGCCATTGTGGCCATTTAGGGAGTGAAGATCTCTCTCCCTCTCTCTCTCTCTCTCTCTGTCTTTTCCTTCTCTATATAAATCTGCCTTTTCAACAAAAATAAATAAATCTTTAAAAAAACAAATTGAAATCTGTAAGCATTTAAGCTGTATATAAAATATAAAACACAATTAAGTTGGGACACTGGAAAATGGCCTCAGCCAAATGAAATCACGAGCGTCAGTCCTAGTTCCGGCCCTTGGCTAGCAGGGGTACAGTGGACATGAGGAAGAGAGGGCAGAGCAAAAGCCAGGGCGCCAGAGTGAGCAGCCGAGCACCCACATCTTCCTTTGGCACCTCTGAACTGGGCCTACCACAGAAGGGCCTGCAGTCAAGTGAAAGCAAGAGGGGAAAAGCAAGTTCGCAAACCAAATCACGTTTTTAAAAAAGATTTGTTTATTTTTATTGTGAAGTCAGATATACACAAAGAGGAGAAGACAGAGAGAAATATCTTCCATCCAATGATTCACTCCCCAAATGACAACGGCCAGTGCTGCCCCGATCTGAAGCCAGGAGCCCAGATCCTCTTCTGGGTCTCCCATGTGGGTGCAGAGTCCCAAGGCTTTGGGCCATCCTCAACTGCTTTCCCAGGCCACAAACAGGGAGCTGGAATGGAAGTAGGGCTTCCGGGATTAGAACTGGCACCCATATGGGATCCCGGCACATTTAAGGCGAAGACTTCAGCCACTAGGCCACCACGCCAGGCCCCTGCTTTGTAAGAGGCCAAAGATGTGCCCCCACTTCTCGGTCTCTGCAGCCCAAACAAATTCAAATCTCTATCAAGCCGTGACATGGACTCCCTGGAACTGTCTTTGCATTCTGTATGCTGTCTACAATGTTCTGTCCAGCATGCCCAGGTCTGGCAAAGACCTGTGACAAGGTGGCAAAGACCTGTGACCTATGACAAGACCTAGACAGCAAAGGGGCCCACACATCAAAGCCAGGGAGCAGCCTGCCAACGCCCTGGCAGCACACTGGGCTGGGGAGAGGCCCCACCTCCACCGACAGCCCCACACTTGACTCAGTGGTAACATAGCACACCAGAGCTCTGGGGCCTGGGATATGGACACCTACCTACAGGACAACCTGAATATTAGGGGGAAAAGGCATAAATAAAAACCTGAGAGCATGCACCATGGCAAGGGGGCAGGGGGGAGGGCTTAGAGGACAATGCAAATGTTTTTCTTTCTTTATCATTTTATTTGAAGGCACAAAGCCAGAGGCCAGAACTTGGTTCTCAACTCCACACAACAGCTGTCTGCTCGCCTCCATTTTCTACAAAGTCCTAGCTGCCTGTTGGCTGCCCTCAGAGCTCAGGGTTGGGACCCTCACTCTCATTCAGACTGCCACCTGCTTCAGGTCTTTCCACTGCACCCGAGAACGGCCCCTACTTGGGTCTCTCGATTTCTGCTGGGTTCTCTCTTGCTTTGAGGTTTTGAATAAGGAAAACCTCAGTCCCCTGCGGAGGAGCAAGGACCTAAGCAGTGCATCGCACAGGGAGTCTCCACTGAGCCTTCAACACACTGTCTATACACAGGTGTTTGTCTGTGAGGTTGAGACATAAAGGGGGCCTCCATGCAAGGGATCCCGCCTGAGACTTTTATAAGCCGTCGCCCTGGGAATGCCCTACCATAACTGCCATGCATGCTCAACTCCCTGGTGGGGAAGGGCAAGGGTCTTGGGATGAGCACCTCCCTACAGACTGAGACCATTCAACCCACATCCCCCTCAGATCTGCAGACGCACACTGTGGTCAGGTGTTGTTCAAGGACGGCGATGCTTGTGGGAGATACACGGTCAGGGAATTCCATCCCTGTGCAAACACCAGAGTCTACTTCCAGAGCACTAGGACCAGGAGGCGGGGCCGGGGCGGGGCGATCAGGGGGCGGGGCGGGTGGCCAGGAGGCGGAGCAAGGCGGTCGGGGGCGGGGCGATCAGGGGGCGGGGCGGGTGGCCAGGGCGGGGCGATCAGGGAGCCGGGCGGTCAGGGGGCGGGGCGGTCAGGGGGTGTGGTGGCCGGGGCGGCCCCAGGGGCGGGGCGTGGTGCCCGGAATGGGGCTACCGGCGTAGGGAGGGGCGGTCAGGGGGCGTGGCGATAGGGCGTGGCGGTCGGGGAGGGGCGGGACCCCGCATGGTGCTGACGCATGCGCGCGCCTTGCCTTATGGACGAGGTCTCCACGGCCTAGTCTGTCTGGCAGCCACGCTCTCCTAGCGCCCGGAGGTCGCGATCTGCCTTGGCAGCCATGGCGACCCTGCGGGTCCTCCGGGCGAAGGTGCCCGGCTGGCTCCAGCGCGGCCCACAGGTCCTGCTCCCTGCCCGTTTCTGCAGCCGGGGATCGGCGGGTGCCGGTCAGCAGGAGCCGCGGCCCACGGTGGCACGGCAGCGGGACGGTATCAGGTCAGCCCGCGGGGGTGTGCGGGAGGCTTGTATCCAGGGGAGATGGAGGACCGGGACCCGCCGGGCGGGCCGAGGGTCGTGTCTGACCCCGAGCCACTGGCCCCGCGATGGGCCGACCCTGATCTCCCAGGGGGCGGCGGCGTCGCGTACAGCTGACGGGTGGCCCCTGTCTAGCGGGGAGGACTGCGGGTGGCTCCTCCTCAGATGGCCCCTGCCACACCCCCTACTCCCTCGGAGCAGCCGGGCATGTCCTTGTTGGACTGTGGAGCTGGGCACGGCTTACCCTGCAGTGCACCCCCTGGCTGCTGTGGCCCCCCACAAACTTTATTAGGCTTCAAGATCTGACTAGTTTGGTTTGAGCTGCATCCAGAAGGGTGGGAGTGAATACAGGTCCGTAAATAGAGCGAAGAACACACTGTTCTGAGCTTGGCCCATCTGGGCAGCAAGTCCAAAAAATAACAATAATCAGGTCACACAAACTGGGAACTGGACCATAGAGGAATACAGGTGGGAGGTGCCACAGGAGCCTGCATAGCACGTTCCAGCATTTCAGAGTTACAAATCAAGCTATCTCTTCTATTAAACCTTTTCTCTTTTTAATTAATAAGACAATCAACTATTTCTTTTTAAATTTTCATGATACAGTTTCATGGGCACAAGGCTCCCTTCCCCACCTCACCCCCAGTTTCCCCCCTATCATTACAATAGTACAGTCCTCCAGCTACAATCACAAGCTCAACATTCTGTTATTTAAATACATTATAGCACTATAGAGTAGACAATGATAGAAAGTCCAGCATCCTATTAATCAAGATATATTTAACAGTTTCATTAGGGTCAATTCTTTTATTTGGGAGTAGAGATGCATACTGCAGTGTATCTTCATTTCCTGATATGCTGGTCTCCATTGTACAGTTCATCTATGAAAATATATGTGCATCCACATTTACCTGCATCTATTGAGCTTGTATTTTGCATGAAGGTTGTCTTATATCAGAGAAAACATAAGACGTTTGTCCTTTGAGGATTGGCTTATTTCACTGAGCCAATCTCTAGTTGGGACCATTTTGTTACAAATGGCAGAATTTCATTCTTTTTAATGGTTGAGTTCCATGGAGTAGATGTACCATAGTCTCTTTATCCAGTCCTCTTTCCACAGGCATCTAGGTTGTTTCCAAGTCTGCAATTGTGAATCGTGCTGCTATAAATATAGGGCTGCTGGTCACTTTCTTATATGCAGATTTCAGCTCCTCTGGATATACTCCCAGGAATGGGATAACTGAGTCATATGCTAGATCAATATTCACTTATCTTAGCGCTCTCCACACTTACTTCCATAGTGGTTGTACTGCATTCCCACCAACAGTGGGGTATTGTGCCTTCCTCCCACATCCATGCTAGCAGGTATTATTGTCAGATTTCTAGATGTGAGCCAATCTCACTGGAATTAGGTGGAATCTCAATATGGTTTTTATTTGTATTTTCCTGACTGCTTGGGAGCCTGAGCATTTTTTTTTTCATATGTCCATTAGCTATTTGAATTTGTTCTTTTGAATAATGCCTGCTCATTTCCTTTGCCCATTTCTTCACAGGGTTGTTTGTTCTGCTGTCATTGAGTTTCTGAAACTCTTTGTAAAGCCTGAATATTAGTCCCTTATCTGTTGCATAGTGTGCAAAGATTTTCTCCCATTCTGTTGGTTGCTTCTTCACGTTGTTGATCATTTCCTTCGCTGTACAGAAGCTTCTTAGTTTGATGTAGTCCCATTTGCTTATTTTGGTTTTGACTGTGTTTAGGACTAAGAAGTGTTTACCAATGCCTATATCTTGTAGAGTACTCCCTATGTTTTCCTCTAATAGTTTTGTGGATCTGGGTGCAGATTTAGGTCCTTGATCTAGAGCTAGTTTTTTATATAAGCTGATAGGTGGGGGCACCTGTGACAGGCTGCTATCCAATTGTCCCAACAACATTTGTTGAAGACCAGGCTTTCTCCCCTGGATTATTTTCAGTCCTCTTCCTGCCTGGGGAAAGAAGTTCTTCCTAGAATCATAAGAGCTCTGTTTGAGTTCACGGTTCTCCTAGGTCTCCTAGAATGGAGAGCAGGCCTCTGGCTTGCATGTCTTCCTCTTCTGCTCCCCCTTTTTCTCCTCTCTTTATCCTGTCCTGGCACACAGGTGTGCAGACACCCCACGATCCCAGTCTGAGGGTGCCCCTTGCAGGGTCTGAGAACAGATAGTCCATTCCCCGGGGACTCTACACTTTTGGTTAGAGGTTCATCTAGAAGGCGGCCAGAGCCTGGCGAGTGACACCCCACAGCCACAGTAGAGGCTGACCCTGCCACGTGGAGGAGCCATTCTACTTCTGGGAATCTGGTCACAGACATGAGGAGGGTAGCACAACAGCCAGATGTCACAAGGAGACCAGGAGAGTTCTCCAGCATGTCACAGGGGTCAGAACGGGAAGTAACTTGGAATCATTTCTCACAAATGCAAGAAATCGCCGAGTAGGAGGGACACCCCGTGTTTGGGAATCGAGAGCAACACGCTGATAGGTAGGGACAGCTGGAGCCTCGGTGGCCCTCCCCAGGTCCCCTTTTGAAGTTGCTCCTCCCAGCAATGACGCTGTCACAAAGTGAAGCCCAGCACAAAACATGCTGCTGGGGAGGCACTTTGCCATTGTACTGACCATGGCCTACAAGGCATGCAGGCTGTTCTCCCCATTTTAAAGTGAAGCAACTTGTTCAGAGAGGGATGGCCTGTCCAATGTCAAACAGCCAGTAGGTGGAGGGGTCGAGATCCAGGGAGAGACCCTTCTCTCTCCAAGGTTGTTTCTATGATGCTGTAGTCTTGCTATGTGGGCTTAAAGGAATTGGCAGGAAAATGCATCTGTTCTTAGTTCCCTGCAGTCAATGGAGTTGGCTCTGAGAAGAACAAGTGCTGGCTTCAGTTGGTTTGATTTTTGTTTTATTTGTTTGTTTCTTTTATTTGTAATTAATCAGTCCACAAATATTGATTGCTTGATTATGACCATGACACTCCTCCACTTAAAGAACCTTCTCAAGGTTTACCACAGCTCGGTGGGGGCTTGTGTAGGAACCATCCTGGGCTCTCACTTTAGCCAAATGTCTTGGCAATGACCTCATTCTAAAACAGATCACCTCTTCAGATAGGTGGTGTAGGTAAAGCTCTGGGTTCATGACTTTTTAAGATGTATTTATTTTCACTTGAATGGCAGAAACACAGAAAAGGAGAGACAGAGAAATAGAGAGAAAGGGAGATTTTCCATCTTCTGGTTCACGGCCTGAATGGAGTGAACAATACCAGAGCTGAGCCAATCCAAAGCCAGGGCTCCCATGTGGGTGCAAGGTCCCAAGTACTTGGGGCCATCCTCTGCTGCTTTCCCAGGTGCACCAGCAGGGAGTTATATTGGAAGTGGTGCAAGTGAGACTCCAACCAGCCCCGATACAGGATGCTGACACTGCAGGTAGAGGTTTAATCCTGTATACCATAGTGCCAGTCCCTGAGTGTGTGATTTGAATCACAATAGCACTGGGAGAGTTGAGGCAGGTGAGAGTGTTGGGGGATATTGTTAAGGGAAGTTGAAGATCACATAAATGAAGGCAGGCTAGGAACCTGGGATGATATTCAGCTTTGGGCTTGGGCCATTGAGTGATGGAAGTGAGATAAGGGGAAAAAGAGAGGAGCAAGTATGAGAGGTAGGGAAAGACCCTCAAGGACCACATAGGTGGGCAAGTCCAGGGGCCAGCCAGAGGGGCCTGTGGAGTTGTCAGCACTGAAGCGGCAGCTGAGGCCTAGGCCCAGAGGGAAGTGGCCTAGGAATAGTGTCTGGAGCCCCTCTGGGGATCACTGGCATGAAGGGATTAGAAGACCCAAAACCCATGGAGGAAGTGCAGGAAGTCCATGGAGGAACTGGCTGGAGAAATACACAGAAACTAGGAATGCTGAAATGTCTAGTCAGAAGGAGAGAGTGGCCAAGGTGGTTCTGGAAGTGAACAGGTTAGTGGAGAGAACAGTTTTAGTGCAGTGGTATAGCCCAGAGAAGCATGGTAGGGCTGGGTGGGACGCAAACACATTGGTAGTGTGTGAACCCAGGGACTAATGACACACATTTCAGCAGCCACTGGCAGGCATCAAGCCGGCCATAAACTGCCATCTTTTCTTGCACAACACTGTCCAAGGCCACTTTAGAACTTAATGGAAGCACCTGTCACTGATGGGTTGTGGCTTTTGGTGTTTTCCACGGCAAGCACCCCAGTCATCCTCTTGAGAGATTTAGAAGCACATCTCTCACTTTGACCGTGCCCTGCACTTCAATATAGGCTTCAAAGTTTTCTCAGCCTTACAAGACTTACAAGGGGACTTGCTTATGAGAAAAAAAGATGGGAATGTCACAGCCACCTGAAGGCTGCTGCATGACTGAAGTGGTATTCCAAAGGACATGGTAATGGGCCTGGTGTGGAAATAAATTCAGCCCTCCAAGTTGCTGCCCAGACACTGTGGCTCCCGTGCTCTTTAGCAGTAAGTAACCCAAGCTGACTCCATAGTCATAGGAACATCAAGTCTGAAAAAGAATGAGAAAAACAGAAAATCTGTAGGTGGACACTTATAGGAATCCAAAAAATGCATAACAATAATAAGGTCTTTGGCTCCGTGTCCATTTCTTAAAAAGAAATTTTTTTTTTTTTAAATTGGAAAAACAGATCTACAGAGAGAAAATCTTCCATCTGCTGGTTCATTCCACAAATTGCTGCAACACCCAGAGCTGAGCCAATCCAAAGCCAGGAGCCAGGAACCTCTTCCAGATCTCCCACATGGGTGCAGACCTATCCTCTACTGCTTTCCAAGGCCACAAGCAGGGAGCTGGATGGGAAGTGGGGCAGCTGGGACATGAACCTGACACCCATAAGGGACTAGCACTTACAAGCAGAGGATTTAGCCAGTTGAGCCATCATGCCAGCTCCAGTGTCCATTTCTTATAAAAGTATAAAGAAGCCATTTCCAAGGATGGGCAGTAAGAGGACAACACAGGTTATTTTATTGCAAAGTGGGGTACATTAACATAGGGAGCAGGCTTGCGGTGAGGGGGGTGGGGAAAGCTCTTCCCGTTTCACTTTGTCCTTTTGTTCTTCGTTGATCATCCCATTCTCAGAACAAATGATTAGCAGGATGCCACCAGGCAAATGAGGAGGGGTGATAATCCACTGTTGTGAAAACAGATTGGTAGCTACACCCTGCCTGCCTTTTAAACAGGATGGGGGGGGGAGTCCCAGGGAATATCTCTGTTCTTCAATCCTTTCTTTACATTAGGGTGAAGCACCACAAGAACTAAGCTGAAGGCAGCCCCTGTTTGGCACATCTCTCAGGCCCCTGCCACTGTCCTGCGGCAGTGGTGGTCATGGAGATGTCTGGGCGCCACTGAGATGAGCCCTGGCTGGGCAGGTGGCAGCCAGGCTGCTGACAGCAAATGTAGAAAAAAGGAGAGACAAAGAGGCAGAGAAGTCAGCCCAGGTTTCAGAGAATCTTTCTCATTTTGACTTAGCTCCAATTCCAGTAGAGTCATGAGCCTCTGCTTTGGCACCAAGCGCCAGCACGCCCTGTGTGCTGTGGAGTTTTAAAAATAGCTCTCCAATCAGGCAGCCATCACAGGGGTCCTCTCTGGCTGTGGCCAGGGCCTCTGACCCTGTGGTTATCAGGCGCTTTTCACAGGAGCATCATCTTGAACAATCCGAAGAAGAGGAACGCGCTGTCACTCGCCATGCTGAAATCGCTCCAGCGTGATATTCTCCATGAGGCAGACAGCAAAGATCTGAAAGTCATTATTATTTCAGGTACTATCCGATGGCTCTCCTTGGCGTTCCGCTCTGCCCAGCTTTCTCATTTTCTTGGCTTGATGGGGGCATACTGTCACTTCCCTGGAGAATTGTCTCAAAGGTCTTTGACAAGAGTATCAACTACAGAGAAGTCCCGCATGGGACCAACTGCGTACATGACAGCAGTGACATGCCTGTGTTTGTCTTTTCACGCACTTGCTTATGCTGATCCTGGCATCAGCATCACAGGCCCCCATTTCCTCACAGACCCTACAAAATCAGTGTAATGATTTATCCTCTCAGTAGACTGGTCAGCAAGGAGCTGTCTGTTGGGGGCATTCGCTTGGGTTATCTTTTCTGTTTTTACCCAGCCTTTCATCTTTTATCTGCAGTGTCTTATTGGTACCAGACATCCTGCCATTATTTTGCTCTCTGTTTCCTTGTTATTTTTCCAGTAAGAGTTTTTACAGGGTCATTCCTTTCCCAGGGGGAACAAGGGTGGGGAGCGTTACAAATAATCGTGATGTCAGCATCTTCAAGCCCCCCACAGTGAAACCTGAGGATTTGTTATTTGTTTTGCAAATTACTGATCAGTGTTTTTGGACAGAGTGTTGCCGTATTATCAATGGCTAAACAGACATCTTCAACAGGTCTGTGTGATGAAGGGGAAAGATAATGAGACCCAGCAGTCCTCGAGCCATGTAGGACACCCGGAGGGAGTGGAGACAGCTAACCTCTTACCTTGACAGTTTCTTCCCATGTAGCAAGAGGATCATATCGCCTCCAAAAATAGCCACAAGAAGAAAATACGAGTATGCATGACTTATCAGAGTGACACTGTGCTGTTGAGGATAATAATGACAGCAGTCACGCCCTCAACTCCCTCAACTGTAAAACAACCTGAGCTGATGGCTCCAAGTTCATCTCACATTTTGACCTTTGTGATGCAGCCCTGCTGCAGGTGGCCATCTCCTATAGAGTAAGTGATGCAAAGCTTGCTCAGGCGTGGTGAATTTTAATGGACCTGTGTGAGTGGCTGCCCTCCAGCCACGTCAAGTCCAAGAGCAGAATCAAGAGACCAGCAGGACAGCCCTGTGACAGGCTCCCTCATCTGGCTTGTGTAATTGTGTCCTTTCATCAGTATCCACCAAGGACTTTGAGAAACATGCACGCCCTACTTTGTCTTTTCATCACAGCATTCTAGTTGTAACCATTCAAATGAACATGAATTCTTAGCCAAATGGGCCGTTCCGTCTCTTGAGGAGTCTACAACCCAGACCATTGGTTGAGGTTATTTGTTAGACAAGTTGGCGAGCCACCTAAGCCCTGATGCTGACATCTTTTTTTTTTTTTTCTCCTTCTCTTTTCCCAATCACAAACCTTTGCAGCTGAGGGCCCTGTGTTTTCTTCTGGGCATGACTTAAAGGAGCTGACAGAAGAAAAAGGCCGGGATTATCATGCTGAAGTATTTCAGACGTGCTCTGAGGTAAGTCAGGCTTGGGGGGTGGCCAGAGTGGCCAAGCTCAAACTGATCACAGTGGCAAATACTGAATTCGCTCTCTGGTTCATAGATCATTAGTCACTCCCTCTGAATATTTGCATGTGGCCTTCCATGTCCTTGGGGTCCACACCCATGGAGCTGTGGACTGAGATGTGTACAGAATCAATTTCATGTCATTATTGCCTAAGCAGTAAAGTATAGCCACTATTTACATAGCATCTACCTTGCACCAAGTATTTTAGGTAACGCAGAGAGGATGCAAAGTACATGAGAGGGTGTGCATACGTTAGGTGTTACTTTGAATGTCAGAATTAGAAAAAGAAAGAGAGAGAGATCTGCTGGCTCACTGCCCAGGTGGCCACATTGACCAGAACTTAGCCAAAAGCTTCATCTGGGTCTCCCCTGTGGGTAGCAGGGGCCTAAGCTCTGGAACCATCTTCCACTGCTTTTCCCAGGCCAGCAGCAGAGAGCTGGATCAGAAGTGGAGCAGCCAGGATTCCAAATGGGATACTGGCAAGCAGGTGGTACATTTACTTGTTATACCACAGCATCAGCCACAATCACTTTTATGTAGGGTACTTGAGGAACTTCAGATTATGTTGTGTGTGGCGGGTCCTGGAACCCATCCTCGTGGGTCCCAAGGGAAGACTGTATTTAGTCTAGACTGAAGAAACGATGATTTGCTATTGAATTTGTGCCAAAGAAAATAAAACAGGCAAGGATACTTGAAGCTGCCATCTCCAGCATAATGAGGGCATGTCTCACGTCCAGGTTTTCAGCAACAAGTACAAGTGTAAATATCCATGTTTAGCAAGGGAGAACAGGAGCTGGTATATTCTCATAGCAAGTCAAGCCACCACCTATGATACCAGCATCCCATATGGGTGCCAGTTCGTGTCCCAGCTATTCTAATTCCCATCCAGCTCCCTTCTTATGACCTGGGAAAATAGTGGAAGATGGCCCAAGGCTTTGGGCCCATGCACCCCTGGGGGAGACCCAGATCATCTCAGCTCCAGCCATCACAGCCATCTGGGGAATAAACCAGTGGATGGAAGGCCCTTCTCTCTGTCTCTCCTCCTCTCTGTAACTCTGCCTTTCAAAAGAAATATAGATATATTTTAAGTTTCATAACCTAACCTTAGGATTATTTATCTTTTCACTGGCATATTGGCTTGCTAATGTATTCACTTTGGTCATTAATTATTCAACAAATATTTCACAATACTGACTGCAGATGAGCCAGAGGACAGCAACAAGGAGGTGAACGGGAAGACGGTTATGACACTGTGTAGTTTCCTTGCCCTCCCAGAAACCATAAGGGTGTCAAATTAGAGTCTTTTTATTCCAAGGAAGGACACGCAGAAAAAAAGAATGATTAACTTGAAGTTCCCTGGGGAGCAAAAAGCCCCCCAGCTAAGATTTGGGACTTGTGCTTCCAACCTTAATAATGTTTTTAGAACATTCTGCTCTTGGGTTTGCCAAAGCTTGCTGCTTTACAAGTTATTTGTCTCCTCATGTCTAGTGTGTTAGGCTAAAATAGAAGAGCATCAAAGAGAACCCGCAGATCCCTTCTGTCTCCCCGAAAGGACCCACTTTCATCCCTCTGCTATTGTCTCCACGTGCTGGCAGGTTAGCACAGGGCCACGTGGGAGCAGGCTTTCAGAAGAAGAGACCAGAATTCTTGGAAGTTCCAAACCCATGGAGACCTCGGCTTACAGAGACAGACTAGGAACACACAGCCCTGACATAGGAAGAATGGAAGGTGTGTTTCAAACCAGAGCCAAGAGGTGTTCTCAGACACACATGAACATCTTGAACTAGCGCAAGGTCTCCATTTCGAAGGGTGATCAGCAAACGGATGGGAGCAGAAGGAGCTGATATTTTCGTTGTTCAATTCCCACAGAAGATTTTAGAAAGCAAGACAGTTGTATCTGAATCAGCTCAGCATTGAAATCCATAGAGAATTTGTTATAGATGGCAAAAATGTCATGGCAGTTAATTATTTACAAATCAGGAGGCGGGCAAACGATCAAGGAAAGAATGAGGATAAGAACTTGGTCATGGGAGAGTGGACGTGACGTTCTGCAGTGTGGACTGGCAGCTTGCACTAGAGATATCTTCAACTTGTCCATTCTTTTTTTTTTTTTAAGATTTATTTATTCTTATTGGAAAGTAGGATATACAGAGAGGAGGAAAGACAGAGAGGAAGATCTTCCGTCCGCTGATTCACTACCCAAGTGACTGCAATGGCCAGAATTGAGCCAATCTGAAGCCCGGAGCCTCCTCCAGGTCTCCCACATGGGTGCAGGGTCCCAAGGCCTTGGGCCATCCTCAACTGCTTTTCCAGGCCACAACCTGGGACCAAAATGGGAAGTTGAGCAGCCAGGACATGAACCGGCGCTCCTATGGCATCTTGACACATGCAAGGCGAGAACTTTAGCCACAAGGCTACCATGTCAGACTCTTTATTTCTTTTTAATGACTTTTTCAGGTGTATCTACTTTTATAATAATAATATCTAGGTGAGGTTATAGTACATAATTGATTACAGTGCATATATAGTACATAACTGATTACAGCTTTGAATGCTGACCAACTATGCCAGCTAAATTTTAAGTAGCTGAACCATATTAGTCTACATCACTGTCATGTCCTATAAATTTAGTATTATTGTTATTGTTGCTATAATTATTATACCCACTCTATAGATACGAACACTGAGGAACTGAGTGATTTGTTAAGTGTTAGATGGCAAGTAACTGAAAGACTGGGCATCAGACTCCAGTGGCCCAATTCCAGACCACTCCATACTCTCCAGCACACACATGCTGGCATTTCTTCGGGAAATTTCATTTTTGTTTATTTATTTGATTTTATTTGAAAGGCAGAATTACAGAGAGAAAGGGACAGAAAGAGGAAAAGAGATCTTCCATCCTCTCATTCATTCCCTAAATGGCTACAGTGCCCAGAGCTGAGCTGATTAGGAGCCAGGAGCTTCTTCCTGGTCTCTCACATGGATGCAGAGTCCCAAGGCTTTGGGCCATCCTCTGTTGCTTTCCAAGGCCACAAGCAGAGAGCTAGATCAGAAGTGGAGCAGCTAGGTGGGACATGAGCCAGTGTTTTTTGGGATGCCAGCACTGTAAGTGGAGGCTGAGCCTAGTATGCCACAGTGCCACTACCCTCTTTTTCATTTTATTTTTTTCCACCATTGTAAAATCCTTTTTTGATGAGCATCTTTGATCAGAAAGCTCCTGATTCCTCCTTGACTGGCTTTTCACTGAGTGCCAGGACATCACTTGGGCTACAGTCGTCTCTGTTCTCTTTGCATTAAGACTTGGGAAGATCATGTAACCTCTTTGCTGTTATGATTGCTCTGTAACTGTCCTTCCCCAGCCTCGGCTGAAGGGCAGGACTCATCAATCCACAGCAGTTCTGTGCACAGGTGTACAGATGCGCACAGAAATGAATCTTGCATCATCCATCAGATTCTTGAAAGCTGATTCCATCAAAAAAGGTAAAAAAAAAAATTGCTATAGAATACAACACCCATACTGTTCAGTTTATCATTGGTAAACATTGGTGGGCACTGCCATTGTGGTGTAGCTGGCAAAGCTTCCACTTGCAGTACCATAAACTGGTCCACTTCCAATCCAGCTCCCTACTAATTCACCTGGAAAAGCAATGGAGGACAGCCCCAGCATCCATAGGGGAGATACAGAGAAAGTTCTGGAAGAACACTAATTCTGCCTTTCAAACAAATAAAATAAACATTTTAAAATAAAATAAAAATAAAATTTGGTGATTTTAGTTTAACACTTTAAAAAGCAGCAAATGTAGATGAATATAAAAGATAAATCTTTTCAGCAAAGTCTTCAAATCCTCATTTGTCTTTGCATTGCTTCTTTGAAAGAAACACAGATTTGGTTCCTGTCTCCCCTACTATCCCCTCCTTCCTGCCAAGGTCCAAAGAGCAACAATTTAGAAATTGGAGTTGCCATAGCAGCCCAACTATTTGCGTGGGGGTGTGGGGGCATGTGGAGGCAGGGAGGTGTTGGCAACCCAGGGTGAGCCAGGACTCCTAGGGGAGGACTTCAGCCTCGCCCCTGTGTGCCCAGGGCTCTGTTGGCAGAATCAGGCTTATTTTGGTGACAGCAGGGTGCCACGCCCCCATCTTAATGGAGTGCAGACTTTGAGGTGGTAATTTGAGAAGTAATTGCTGAGGAAATTGCCTGAATGTGTTTTTTCTACCTTAATTTTTCAAGGAAGCACCAAGCAGCGGTTTCTGACTTGGAAGCAAAGGCACTGTGCAGTTGGTTCCCCTGAGATAAATAACGGGTCTATAACGGCGCCTGCAGCTGGTGTAGCGGTGGGGGAGTCCTGGGGTAGCAGGACCAGGGCCTTCTGCCAGCAGCTTCCCCCGTGGGGCCTGGTGCCCGTCCTGCCACGTTCCTTCCTCGCGGGGTTCTCAGCAAGACGGGGACCCGGCCTGGTCCCCAGGTAGGTAGTTCACCCACACCAGCCCCAGTACTGTGCTTGCTGCCACCTTTCATTTTGTCCTGGAATCCAATGCATGAAGAGACGTGTACCAAAAGTGCCGGGGAAGCTCCAGGTGGCATACAGTGACAGATGGAATCACGGTCCCTCCCTCCAAGACTGGATCAAAGTGAAATAGGCGTGTTTGCTCCCACAGGTCATGATGCTGATCCGGAACCACCCTGTCCCAGTCATTGCCATGGTCAATGGCTTGGCCACCGCTGCTGGGTGTCAGCTCGTGGCTAGCTGTGACATCGCCATAGCCAGCGACAAGTCCTCCTTTGCCACTCCAGGGGTGAACATTGGGCTCTTCTGTTCCACCCCTGCGGTCGCCCTGGGGAGAGCGGTGCCAAGAAAGGTAACTAAACTTCCTGCCACCCGCCGCCGTGAGCTCATCCTCCAGGGTCGGGGTGGGGGCGGGAAGTAGTGTACAACAAGCTTGCTGTAAGCACCTCTTACAGCGCAAAGCAGATCTGACTGGGCATGCCACTCAGCTGCATTCTTTTTTCTTTTAATATAATTGAAAGGCAGAGTGACAGAGATAAGGTCTTCTGTTCCTTCGTCCCACAAGTAGCAGGACTGGCCAGGCCCATGCTACAAGCCTGGAACTCTGTGTAGATTACCATATATGACAAGTAACCAATTACATGAGCCATCACCTGCACATGCGAACAGGAAGCTGGACTGGAAGCCAGGCCAGGAACGGAACCAGACACTCAGAAATAAGAGCTAAGATGTAGGCGTCACATACTGTGTCTTAACCACCGAGTCTAACCCCCCCCTCCCCCGTTCCTGCCAACAGGAAGCCAGTTCCTCCACGGCTTCTTGAGCTGGGCCTCAGCTCAGGAGCAGGCCAGGTTTCCACCTTTTCCGCTGCATCTAATCAGATTTCTGGATTGTGTGCTTTCGTGCCGGCACGTGTCTTTGGTTATGTTATTGGAAATGCAACTGAGACCCAGTTGTGCTGTCCCAAGAGGTCCCCAAGGCATACTTGCCCACTGACAATGTCAGCATGGAACCACCAGGATGGTGGAGTCCCGGGCTCACTGCATGTCAACAGCCTGTCTCATCCCAGGAAAGATTCGGAGCAGCCCCTCTCACACACACCACATGCTGAGTTCCGCAAGGCTGCCTCTCAGTAGAGCAGAGGGTGGTCCCACGTTTCCTGGCCAAGCTGCCCAGGAAGGAACCCTGTGACAAAGGTGCTGGCCAAGTACATTTCCACCACAAGGCTTTCTTCCTTCCCATGACATCGTCACATTTTCCAAATATGTCTAACATCTAACCCTCAGCGTCCTTGTCCCAGGACTGGGGTGGGGAACCCTCGTTCTGCCAAGGATCATCTCACTATTTCTGACATCACTCGCAGGGCCACACAAAATTAGCAGCTGAAAAATTAACCTGCCATAGTTGCCCTGAATTTCAAGCCCCACCCTCCTCGCCCCCGCCCTGCAGTTGCCTCCGCAGGGTAAGAGCAAAGAATTTCACAGGCCTCAGACGAGCCTGTGGGCCAGATAGCCTCCACTCCTGTTCTAGAACAAGCGCACGCTCAACCCCAGGTGGCAATCTGTGAAAACGGGGCAGAGCCATCTAATGCAGCAAGCAGGGGCTCTCCACTGCTTAGTGGGTGGCATCTCCTCCTGGGGCGTTTGTCCAATATACCCAAGGCACGGGAGGAGGGAGGAGAATGGCACCTAAGACCGAGAAGGTCAGGCAGTCCTCCTGCACCCGCACCATGGCTTTTTAACAGAGCTTTTACGGAAATGTAAATGACTGGGAGGGCTTCCTGCCAGCTCACCCAGTCACGGACATGACTGGCAGTGGGTCCCACAGTGCAAAGGTGCCGGCGTGGAAGGACGCCTTCAGATGTTGTAGAGACCTTGAATGACCGTATCAGTGTTCACCCAGGAAATACTGCCCTCAAGTCCACACTGCCAGTAGTAAGACACATGGCAGATCTATCACCATAGCTACACGGCCATGCGTCTTACCCACAAACCAACCTGTTTCTCCCCCATCGTCTACTACTGGCATGCCACACGGTAAGACACTGAAAACCCTGCAGTCAGCCCCACTGCCAGGGCAGAAAGTCCTCTTACTTAAGTAAACGTGAGCCAAAACACACCTACCTGACGCAATCACCTGCGTGATTACGTGCATAGAACACAGCCCTGCACAAGCCTGGAAAAGAGATGCATGGGCCACCAGTGCCCTCTGCTGGTCATCCTGGGGACTTGCCCGGCTCGACACTAGGACTAAGGGTTTCAATCTCACCAGGGTAGAGGACCAAACCTGGCCTTAAATTCTCTTCCCTATTCCTAAAACGCTTCTCCTTTCTGATGTGAGCAAAACACTACATCTGCACTGCACCACATAAACACCCCGCCTGCTGCAGGTGCTCTCTTCCCCCAGAAACAGAGCCAGCGTCTCAAGCCATGGGCACCACCAGAGAGAACTTAAGCACTCTTCCAAACCAGTTATTTCTCAGTAGCAGGAACATGTACTCATCTAAACTGCAGAACCTGCTTTCTCCGGCTTGGGTTTCCAAGAGGGAAGAAGCGTGGACGTCCTGTGGTTCAGACAGCAAGGAGCCCGGGGCAAGCGTGGCGTCTAAGGGCCACCCCGGCTCGGCCCGCTCCACGTCGCACGGCGCCTCGCAGCCCTGCACTCGGACACCGCGGAACTGCAGGACGCAGAACATGCGCGTGCATGTGCCAGCGCCTGCTCTTTCCCTCTCATACTCACTGCCTTGCTGCAGCTCTGCACCCCTGTGCCCATGCTCCCGTGGAGACAAGCACCACCTGCAGCAGGCTGAATGAGCCAGACTCTGACTCTGCCGGTCCCCTGGATTTAGAACCTGCCAGCCTGCAGGACTGTGAGAAACACTCTGTAGTTCACAAGCCAGCCTGCCAGGGACACTGCATTAGAAGCCTGAAGGGAGTAAGAGACCACGCCTACCTGTACGAGCAAGTTTTCCGTTATAATGAGACACCCCTTCTCTTGATAAAGTAGCCTGCCTGGAACACTTAAGTTAAATTCCTATTTAACAATTAGGATTCTTTAAACAAACAAACAAAAGATTTATTTTGCTTGAAAGAGTTATAGTGAGAGAGAGAGAAAGATCTTTCATCTGCAGTTCATTCACCAAGTGGCTGCAATGGAGCTGAGCCAGTCAAAAGCCAGGAGCCAGGAACTTCCTCCAGGTCTCCCACACGGGTGCAGGATCCCAAGGCTTTGGGCCGTCCTCGACTGCTTTCCCAGGCCACAGGCAGGGAGCTGGATGGGAAGTGGAGCAGCTGGGACACAACCTGCACCCATATGGGATGCCAGTGCCACAAGTTAAGGATTAACCTTCTAGGCCATGGCACAGCCTGATTCTTTCCCCACTGAAGTGAGTCTTGCATAAGGAGTAACAGAAGAAGTTTGCACTGAGACAAGAACTAGTGTAAATGAGTCCAAGAGCAGAGGGGGGTGTCCGCGTGCGGGGCCCCTGTTCCTCACTGCAGCAAGGACGCATCTAACAGTTCCTGAAAGAAGAGAGTCTTTCATCGTTGAGGACAATCCCATGCTGGAGTGTGAGGAAGGGGTGATTTCTGGACTTGGCATTCCACTCGTAGGCCACAGGAGAGGTGGGGCGGGAGGTGCCCACCTTGCTATTTCTGACATTGCCAAGCAGCCTCCCAGAATTCAGTGCGGCTTGATTAATAACTGTCGGACTTCCTGTCTCTCTCCTTCCAACTGCTTCAACATCCCCATCTGCATATCTGACAATCAGTCTTTCTCTGACCAGTTGATTGACCTTCTGAGAGGGAAAATCCCTTCTCTAGCTACATGAAATCTCTCCCATTGTGTCTCAAGTTCATTTTCTTGTTGACTTCTTAGAGGTCTGCCATTGACATTAGAATCCTTTGTGTAGATGGGAATATACACACGTACCCAAGAGCTTGAGTATAAAATAAATCCAAAATAGCCCTGTTTTAGATCAGGCTGTCATAACAGGTCCTGAACACCAGGCACGTCAGACAACACAGATTATTCAGCCAGTGTGGCCGGTGTGGACTCCACCTACACCCACGGTGCCTTGAGCCTTCTGGTCCCTCTTCCTCACCGCAGCTCCAGCCCTGGGGAACCCCATGTAGTTGCTCAACTCCACAACCATGACAATCCATGGTTCTCATTCAGGGGAGGTAGGCATGGGGATGTGGGACAAGTCTTTGAGACACTGTTGACTGTCCCAGTCTGGGATGTACCACTGGCATCTAGCAGGGGCCAAGGATGCTCCTGGGCATTCAGTAGTGCTCCCAAAGAGCCCCACTCAGCACAACACCATGTGGTCCAAGGAACCGGTGTACCAAGGCAGACAAACACTGCTCTCGGAGCTCATGGCTCCCAGACTTCGCTTCCATTAATCCATTTGCCTGCCACTGCCTATGTAGCTTGCAATGACCCAAATGCCTTGAAACTTGTGAGCTTGTGATGGGAACAGAGCTGAGCAGGAAGGCTCATGTCTGCCCTAGAGCATCTGTGGCCTCAGCCAGGAGGACTTGAGGACTGAGAGGTGATCCCCAGGACTTGGGGGCTAGGGTTCTGTGTGAGGGCTGCTTATCCACAGGTCTGCCTATTGAGGCTGCCTCCCAACTGGGCCCTTAGTGGGACCCGGCCGTGGGACCCGGGCTTCCCTGCAGCATGGTGGCTTGGTCCCCCATGACGGAGCGTTCCCAAGGGCAAGAGCCAGGTGGAAGCTGGATCATCTTTTTGACCTTGTCTCAAAGGAAACGGTCATTGTCACTTCTGCTGTGCTCTATTTTCCTTCATTCATTACAAATATCTAGTATGTTGCTCACTGTTGGATAGGTACTCCTGTGGGGCTGGAGGTGCAAGGCGAGAGAGCAGAGGGCATTGAAAATACCCAGCCCTGTTGGAATTTCCTTTGCCAACAAAGGAAACCTGTAGGGTACCAATCAATCAACCCCTGAAGCACAGAGCATGCTCAGTGGAAAGAAGTGCCACGTTTGCAAAGGGAGCTGGAAAGGGTGCTGGTGTCTGGGTTTGACAGTCTGAATAGGACAGTCTTGGAAGACCTCACTGGAAAGGTGTCCCCAAGTGCAGAGAACTAAGGGGTTAGAGTCACAGGCACAGCTGTCACCCTGGAGCAGGAGCCAGCCATACAGAGGGAGACGGTGAGCATGAGGTTCCTGGGGCGACAGTACTTTTGGTGTGTTTGAGGAAGGGGACGGATTGCAGGGGTGGGGACGGGACTGTCTGGGGGAGAAATGAGGGGAGAGGAGGACCCCCTGTTCTCAGAGCAGGTGCAGGGCTGATGCCTGTGGCTCCATGCTGCCCCCTGGTGGCATGTGTGGAGAAGGCAGGGTGCAGTGTCCTGCCTGTCCTGGCCCTGGTAGTCCAGTCTGGTGGCAGCAAAATAGGAGAAGGAGAGCAGGCTGGCCTCCCCACATTCAAGGCTCCTGGAAAGATCTGATTGGGTCCCTGGTAGCAACAAAGGTGCTGAGAACTTGGGGATGTGCTGACGAGTAAGGAAGCCCATCCCACGGCTGAGAGAACCAGCTGGGGCTGGGGGAGAAGACAGCAGAGCCCTAACATCCTGGTGTGCTCCTCCTTCAGGTGGCCCTGGAGATGCTCTTCACCGGGGAGCCCATTTCTGCCCGGGAGGCCTTGCTGCACGGGCTGCTCAGCAAAGTGGTGCCAGAGGAGCAGCTGGAACAGGAGACCATGAGGATAGCAGAGAAGATCGCCTCCCTGAGCCGTGCTGTGGTGTCACTGGGCAAGGCCACCTTCTACAAGCAGCTACCCCAGGACCTCCAAACGGCCTACTTCCTCACCTCCCAGACCATGGTGGACAACCTGGCACTGCCGGACGGCCAGGAGGGGATCCAGGCCTTCGTCCAGAAGAGAAAACCCATCTGGTCTTCCTGAGCCAGTCTTGCTGGTGACAGGAACAGCGGCAAGCGCCTCCCAGCCTCTGCAGCTGCATAGCCTGATGACAGTGGCTTCACAGCACCCAGAAAACGCCCCTGAAGAGCATGGAGCTGGAGGGATGGAGGCGCAGGGTGGAGGCAACCCAGCTTGAGAGGCAGAGGACACCAGCTTGAGACATGCCCAAAACAACCTCCAAGGATGAGGTCTCTTCCAGTGGTTGTAGTCAGGCGATTTGTTTCAAATCTCCACACTAAAAATTTTCTTCTTGATTCTTCTGGGCAGAAACCGGGTCTGTAGCTTTGGGATAATCATAGTGGGATTTAAATAGATGAAATGTTTGTAGCCACTGGTCATTTTATCTTCCCAGACTAAAAGCCGCCTCAGAGCAGTGCTGTTTGAACTCTTTCTGTACATGTATACCCTGAGGGCCATGCGAAGGATCTTCATAGAGTTTTTATTTAATAATGTGTACTATTAAAAAAATACATATGCAGTGATTTCAAAACAATTTTTGCAACACAAAAATTTTTATCCACTTGTGTGAAGTTCCGGATGTGCTCTCACACAGGTGCCTCCTATTTTTATCATGAATGCCCTTACCATCCAAGTAACTAGACCCCCAATTCTGGGATAAACCTGGAAGTTGAAACCATGATGCGGGGAGGAAGGACGGAGAACATGTTCTGCTCCTGAAGTCTCCTCCAAACACCTTTCAGTCCCCAGAAAAACAAATCCAGGCACCGGGATAGTGTGGTGGTATAGCCAGGTGAGCCGCCTTCTGTGGCAGCTGTACCCCACACGGGCACCAGCTCATGTCCCATCCAGTTCCCTGCACACGACCTGGGAAAGCAGAGGAGGATGGCTCAAGGTCTCAGATCCCAGCACCCCCGTGGGAAACTCGTAAAAGACTCCTGGCTCCTGGCTCTGGCCAGGCCCAGCCCTGAACACTGTGGCCTTGTAGGGAGTGAACAAGCAGCTAGAAGATGATCTCTCTTTCTTTCTCCATCTATAAAATAAAATGAGATGAAGTAAAATAAAATAGTAAAGTAAAATAAAATAAAACAAAATCTTTAAAAAAGAGTCCAGGGGCCCCAATGCAATGGCTCGATTGGCTAATCCTCCACCCCCAAGTGCCAGGATATAATCACCAGTGTTAAAGTGTTGAAAATGTCCCAGCTGTTCCACTTCCCATTCAGGAAGGAGATGCAAGAGCTCCTTTACCTCTACACTGGACTCGTTTCTTTTCCATGTCACTTAACCCATGACCCAAACCCATGAGGAGCACTTTTCTCAGCTTCAGAGATACAGAATCACAGGGGTTGGGAGGCTGTTGTGAGGGGAGGGAGGAATCTCAAAAGGTGGACAGAGGCAGCCTTGGCGAGGAGGAGTCCAGCTAAGATGGCTGATTGCAAAGATACAGGCAACTTAGCTCCCTCCGCAGCGGCCACTAAAAGTTACAAGTTAAAAAGTTTAAATTATGGGGCCCGGCGCGGTGGCGCAAGTGGTTAAAGGTCCTCGCCTTGCACGCCCGGGATCCCATATGGGCGCCGGTTCTAATCCCGGCAGCCCTGCTTCCCTTCCAGCTCCCTGCTTGTGGCCTGGGAAAGCAGTCGAGGACAGCCCAAAGCTTTGGGACCCTGCACCCGCGTGGGAGACCCGGAAGAGGCTCCTGGCTTCGGATCGGCATAGTATCGGCCATTGCGCTCACTTGGGGAGTGAATCATCGGACGGAAGATATTCCTCTCTGTCTCTCCTCTCTGTATATCCGCCTTTCCAATAAAAAAAAATAATAAAAATAAATCTTTAAAAAAAAAAGTTTAAATTATGGAAGCAGGAGTCTGGGGTCCTGGGTGGGACATAAGGAAAGACATAAAAAGTCTGTCACCAGGATTCCCTACAAATGGCCTCACGCAGCCTGGCATGATAGCCCAATTGACTAATCCTGTCCTTGAACGTGCCAGGATCCGATATGGATGCTGATTTGTGTCCCAGTTGCTACATTTCCTATTCAGCACCCAGCCTGTGGCCTGAGAAAGCAGTGGAAAACAGCCCAAAGCCTTAAGACCCTGCACCCATGTGGGAGACCTAGAAGAAGCTCCTGGCTCCTGGCTTTAGATCGACTCAGCTCTGGCCATTTTGAGGCCACTTGAGGAGTGGAACAATGAATAGAAGATCTTTCCGTCTCTCCTCCTCTTTGTAAATCTGCCTTTCCAATAAGAGCAAACACATCTTCTTTTGTAAATAGCGTCACCAGAATCACCACCTCACTAAATTCAAACTCAAGAGTTCAGAGTATCCTTGCCTTAACCACAAGCAGTCAGCACCAAGGACAGCCAGATAGTAAAAGGAAACAGATGTCAACAACAACAACCAAAAGGCAATTTGGAAGACACAGAAACCACACAGGGAAAAGAAAATTCAAACAAATAACAGTTATAATAAATAGAACAGAGACATAAGAAATTGCATCCATGAAACAAAAGCAGTTGGCATGTTCATGTCTGCACACATAGCTGCACATATACCTCTGCATAAAGACACATATGGCTGAGCACTACGTGACAGAGGGCTAATCTCCAGAATATACGAAGAATTACAAAACAACCAAAATACCAAAACAAACAAGCCACTCAAGAAATGGGCACGGGAAATGGGCAGACAGTTCACAAAGGAACAAACCCAAATGGCAAACAAACGTATAAAAAAATGCTCAAGTTCCCTGGCAATAAGGGAAATCCAAATTAAGACATCAATGAGGTACCACCTAATGCCAGTAAGATTGGCCCACACACAAAAAAACACCAACAGCACTTGTGGCGAGGATGCAGGGAAAAGGGAACCCTACTCCACTGCTGGTAGGACTGCAGGCTGGTACAGCCTTTATGGAAATCAGTATGGAGAACACTCAAACAATTGAAAATCTGCATAGCATATGACCCAGCAATAGCACTCCTAGGAATATATCCAAAACACCTGTTACACGAGAAACCAACATGCACCCCTATGTTAACAGCAGCACAATCAGTAATTGCAAAAACATGGAAGCAACTGAAATGCCCATCAGAAGAAGACTGGATAAGAAAGCTATGGTTCAGGGCCCGGCGACGTGGCCTGGTGGCTAAAGTCCTTGCCTTGAACGTGCCCTGGGATCCCATATGGGCGCCAGTTCTAATCCAGGCAGCACCACTTCCCATCCAGCTCCCTGCTTGTGGCCTGGGAAAGCAGTTCATCTACTCCATGGAATACTACTCAGCTATTAAAAAAAATGCAGTTCTTTGTGGCCAAATGGGCCCAACTGGAAACCATAATGCTAAGGGAAATGAGCCAATCCCAAAAGGTTAGATACCACATATTTGCTTTAATTTAAGATGAAATGATGTCAATATGAAAAATAGCACCTGTAAAATGTAATATTATCTCAACCTCAAACAGCCTATACCACATGTAATAAGATATTGTGAAATAACTGATGAACCAACAATCAATGTGAGTCAGACTGCTTACGATCTACATCAAAGAACTGTAAAACCTAATATACTTTTAATATCCTATGTCAGGAGAATCAAGGTGGCGGAATAGGGCAGGGACACGTTTAAACGGATGGAAAAACATTTAATCAGGATAAAGCAGAGAGGACATATTCTAGGAAATAGGAAAGGACAGAACAACAGCAGACTGACAGACACAGGAAAGCAGCGGGCACAGCAGTGTGTTGTTGCAGTGAATGATACTCCAGCACGGCGATCTGAACTCCACCAGCAGCCGGAACTCCACCAGCAACCAGGTGGGAAGGGACTTTCACTGGGAGTTTGGGAGGTGAATCCAGACAAAGAACTGTCCATCCTGCTGCTCCGTTTGATTTGACCAGGAGCAAAGACACAGCAGCAAATCCCAGATGGGCAGTGCGAGAACAAGGTGGATTTCATAGCCCAGTCAGCCTCCTAGAGCTGAATTGGGCGCCATTTTGTGTAAGGAGGAAGGGGCAAGGGAAAGGACGGAGCATGCTCTCAGCTGGGAGTGAGCTCATTTCTGACTCGGTGAACTGCAACGACATGGCACTCTACGGGTTCCACCCAGGGCAGGTCTGGGTAGCCCTCAGATCTGACAGCCAGCAGATCAAGAACTGTAGTGGTGATACATCAGGCGCCATTTTGCACACTGTGGCAATAGCTTTGGGACTGCAGGGGATAACAATGAACTGCGCATGTGCTGAGCTCGTGAGAACTCGCCGAGGTCCTGCAGGAAAATAATACTGACTGTGGCATCGTACCGGTCAAAATAGGTCCGTGTGGTACCGAGACATAACGTCCAACAGGTTCCAACAAGATCAGAGCCACCAACAACCTAATTAGATAGGATACCTGGTGTCTCTTCTATCCTGGGACCTACTCCAACCGGAAGTGGGAGAAAGGTTGCAGAGACAACGGTGCAGCCTCAGCACAGTATCACAGGAGGTGGAGACTGGTGAGCCAAGAGCTGGGGCTGTGGAGAGCACGGTGGAAATCTGACATAAGAACCCAGACCTGGAACTCGCTGGAGGTTGTGGCACAAGTGGCTACAAGCAAAGAGCTGTGTACCAACAGCAATAAGTAAAATCGAACTGTAGACCTGTGGGTGACACAGCTTAGAAACCTGCCCCAAGGAGAAGACTCTGATAACCAGAAGTACAATGGCCAAGAGCAAAAGAAGAGACAAAGGCACAAAGAATATTACTTAAAACTCCCCTGCAAAGGAGCAAAACCCTTTGCCAACCTCAGAGTTCACTGAGGAAGACATCGAGAAAATGGGAGACACAGAATCCATAAGACTCATTTTAAAGATTCTGATAAAAAATGAGAAGCTCATGCAAGAGTTCAAAGAATTTAAGGAAGCAGTAAAGCAAATCAAGGCTGGTATATGAGAAATTAAGAACACTGTAGAGCAAATTACAAGTACAGTGGAGAGTCTCCAAAATAGAATGAAGCAAGCAGAAGAAAAAATCTCAGAATTGGAAGATATGTCCTGTCACCAGAGGGAAGCAAACAAAAAGCTGGAAGCAGAGCTGGATCAGGCCAAAAAAAGTAGTCAAGAATTGAAAGACACTATTAAGAGGCAAATATAAGAGTTATGGAAGTCCCAGAAGGTGCAGGAAGAGAAGCTGAGTTTGCAAATGTATTTAATTAAATAATAAAGGAAAATTTCCCTAATCTGGAGAAAGAATTGAGATTCAAGATCCAGGAGGGGCACAGAACTCCTAACAGGCTTGACCAAAAGTGATCTTCACCACGACATATGATTATCAAGCTCTCTTCAATTGAACATAAGGAAAAGATTCTTAAATGGGCACATGAAAAAAATCAATTGACATATAAAGGGATGCCAATTAAGCTCACTGGAGATCTCTCACAGGAAACTCTATAGGCAAGAAGAGAATGGAGTGACATATTCCAGATTCTAAAAGAAAAAAATTGT